CGGAAGTTCTTTGAGATCTGGTCCCCATGTGTATCCCGCAAGTAGGAGACTGACACGCAGGGCTCAGTCTGGAAGAGGGTGTGAGGAAGCCGGTTGCAAAGATGCTCGTGCTACTGTAGTTCACACTGCTGCATCCACAGCAGGGGTCTGAATCAGTCTTGCAAGCATGTGGCCACTCTGCATTCAGCTAGTCTTGGAACATCCTGCGGAGAGGCTGTACAGGTTGCTTGCACTCTTGTGGAACATGCCCTGAGGCGGAGGAATGCATTTTAACCTGTGGCACTCCATGATGCAGTCAGGAGCCCGCTGAGAGGACGTGGCTTGAACTCTCGATCTTTCTGCTACAGCAAGAAAAAGTCTTGGTAATTTTCCGATAGGTGTGGTCCTTTCCCAGGGCATGTCTGATGTTGAGGGAATGAAGTCTTGTCTCTGTGGCAGAAGCACGGAGTTGTGGGGAAAAGACAGCTGAGTGGCTACTTTGTTTGATGTGGAATTCAGAAGTAACCTTAGGAAAGACCCTAGGATGGAGGTGAAGGGATACCTTTTCCCTGGGAGAAACCATATACGGAGGGTCTGCCAGGGTGGTTCCCAACTTACTCATCCTTGTGGCTGAAGTGATCGCAACTTAAAATGCCACTTTTGTGAACAGGTGGAATATGGCGCATGTCACCAAGGGATTAGACGGAGACCTGATGAGTGCTGAGACTACGAGGTTGAGGTCAAACAGCAAACAGGAACTTTTCTGGAGCTTCAGGGGGTAGCCGAGTTAGTCTGCTACAGAAAAAAACAACAAATGGTCTGGTAGCACTTTATGGACTAACAAAACATGTAGATGGGATCACGAGCTTTTGTGGGCACAGCTCACTTCTACAGATGACCGGAGTTATTTCGAGTGTTCACATTCCAAACCCATAACTCCGGTCATCTGAAGAAGTGGGCTGTGCCCACAAAAGCTCATGACACCATCTACTTGTTTTGCTAGTCCATAAAGTGCTACCAGACCATTTGTTGTTTTTTCCAGGAACTTCTCTGTTACTCTGGGATGCTAAGAGATCACACTGAGAGAATCTTCAACGATGGACAGACGTATGAACCTTCTATTCATGGTCTGCAGAGCAGTGCCTGCTCATGGTGTCCACTGAAGAGCTCTGAGCTCCTGATGGCTCTGGCAGTAGAAGAATTAATAGGAGCACCGGCTCTCAATATCTCCAGGTTTCCTCCTCCAGCTGAGGAAGAGGTCGACTTTGGCAGGAATAGTCACGCTGCAGTCCAGGTGGTCTTTGTCTGGGGAGCAGACAGACGGGAGCCAGGCCAGCAGACATCATAAATGAAGCCTGGAGAACAGTGTCACATAAGCGCACGCGGCCATGTGACCTAAAAGTGAAAGGCAAATCTGACTGTAGTTTTTGGTCTGTGAGTAATCCACACTGTGAGGACGCTGGAATCTTTCTGCACGATGGAACGCTCTCGCGCATATAGAAATCAGTGTTGCTCTAGTGAAGTTTAGCATCGGTGTGGGTGATCAAACAGACCTTTCTTTGTTTATGCAATTCTACAAGATAGTATAGAAACTCCATCATCGACCTGACCTCTCGGAAGGAGCGATTTACCAAGAGCCAATCATCCGGATATGGGAAACGTGCAATAATGATGTCTCTTTTGGGTGACACTCCAGAGAAAAGTTTTGTAAACAACTTCCAAGCTGTTCTTGCTACCCAAAGGGAAGGATCCCGAACTATAAATGTTCTTGGCTGTTCCTGAGGGCTTCTCCAGGCTCCAACAAGCAGCTGCTGCTGTTCCCAGTTCCCAAGGGTGGAAACTGGCTACTAGATCAAGAAAAGTAATTCTCACCCCTTGGCTTCATTTCTGTTCTTTTCTCCCCTCCCTCCCTCTACCCCATGGCAACAATTCCATTCTGAAAGTAGGGAGAACAGGTGGGGTTTTTTGTTCTGCCCATTAATTACAATGAAAGCAAATCAGCCGCTGTACGGATTTCGCCTACAGGATGAAGAGCGCAATAAAAGTACCAGAGAGATGCAAGAAACATGAAGTTATTTCAACCCAAATGTAGGCCTGATTCTCATGTATACTATGGCGCCTTCACATTGCTCTGACAGGGTAGAGGTACCTTCAGGTGAGTCTAAATGTAATTTGTGCCTATTTAAAGGCCATTTTCCACTGTCAGAGTGGTGCAAAGGAATCTTAGCTTAGCTGAAAATCAGGCCCATTTCTCTCTGTCTCAATCTAACACACACACACACACAACTAACAGCTTTGCGCCTGTTAATGCCTGTGCCAGCACATGTTTGCTGGAATGGGTTTCAGCAATTCATCAGAAAGTCTTAGTGCATCTCCAGAAAGGTTGGAAAAGACAGCCAAACCCCAACACTCCTACCTGGAGTTAATACTTCAGTGGCTACCCTTTATTCACACTCGCTCGTTCACTCATTCGGCTCCCCAGCACACATCTTGCTGGTTACTAGGCAACCATAAAAATATCATCATCTGTATCTGTTGCCAGTAAGTAGCCTGTACATTCCAAGACCAAACACTCCTGACCTGACGTCGGCTGTTGCTGCTCTGACATGCATTGATTGGGATGCTGAAGGCTGTATATATGTGCCTGTCAAGAATTAGGTGATTCGTAAGACGTACTGACACGCTGAGAACTTTCCAGAACTGACAGCTCTCTTTGAGAACACATTTCCTGCTGGATTTGAGGCACAGGTCAAGAGGGACATCCAGTGGCCAAATAAATTGAATTCTTCAGGGGAATGCCTTTGTGTAGTTTTTTTCCCCCCAAGAAACAGGGCGCATATCTGTTTGCTAGAGGTGGGGAAAATGTCTCCATTTCTAAGTCTTTGCTTCTTTTTCAAAAGGCACGTTCAAGTCCCATTAGGAGACAAGCTCTTATAAGACTTAGGTTTTTTTTTTTTAAATGCAAATGGTACCTCGCCAGTGGAAGCCATCTCACATCGGAGAATAGGGTCTGCATCTCTCAGTCGGGGCCAGGAGAACATTGGAGCCTGGAAAAAGAAAGGAAAAGAATAGAAAGGAAACTGAGTAATTAACGGGGTTAGAATTCAGATGTCTACTTTACAGAAGAGAGAGAGAGATCCAATTTATGTACAAGGTGCATACGTCTAATGATCACATTGGTCTTGGTGATGACCAGCGAGAAGAGCAGCCAAACGGATTTGAAGTATCCCTTGAACCTTGGTCAGGGACTGGGAGAAACTATCATGGATTTGACCAGCACAAAGCCCCTGTGAGGAACCTGAGGTGAGATTTCTTATATGTGGAGCTACACTGTGATTTTAAGAGGCTATTTAATAGGGAGGGGCAGTTGAATGTTTCCCAAGACAAGGAGACAGATGTGCTGCTCTCGGGGACATGCTGAGTGGCGCTGATCAGAAATTTTTGTGACCGCACGTTTTTCTGTCAGGAAATGCTTGTTGGAATCCAGAAGTTCGGTGGGATTGGGTCAATTTGGACTAAACTTTCCATGGAAAGCTGCTTTGGCTCTTGCCAGTCCCCTTGTCTGCCTCCCTGGGCCCCGAGTTGGGCAGCTGGTTACAGATGTTGGGCAGTACAGAGAGACACCCATCCAGACAGTCTGGCAGCCTGGACAGCTGGCTCCCCAATTCACTCAGCAGATGGCTTCCCGGCAGACAGTGCTTTGGAGTGCCCATTTCCCCTGCCAACCAGCTTCCTGTGCTGTTGACTCCATGTCACTCTGCTAGCAGTGCTGGCGCCACAATGAAACACAGCAAAAGCATGTACACCAGTCACCCATATTAAGAAGCTCTGACTCTCAATACATAAGGAAGCAGATCCGTCGAGGTGACATTTTTAACATCTTTATCTCAGAGCATATAAGTGCCGTTTGAGAAACAAAATCCCGTTTTAATGCCAATGTTCCTAGAAATAAAAAAAATGTGGAAGGGGCATCTGGAAAACATGGATGTCTTATAAGGAGGATTGTATCTCTATGGAGTATTTTGTCAGCGTTCAAAAAACTGTTAGCAAGTCGTTAGATTTAACAATATTGAATAAATACAGAACATCAGCAATGCAAGAGTTTCCCAGGGAAACCTGCAGGAACACATTAGGGGTTTTCACTCTGGTGCTAACATTCCGAAAGGGATGTAACCCTGGACTCTTTAGCTAACAGCACTGCCGGATCCATCCAATAAACTATTAAAATCGCAAATCATCAATTTCAGAAAACTCGACCACTGGCATAAATCGATATTTGAAGCTTCTACACGGTGTGGAAGTTGGACGGCTACTTCCCTCCCTAAGTTGATCATCGATCTCCATTATATTCTAGTATATTCTAATATATCATTATATGCAGAGCAGTTTGGTTTGGACAGTAAGTTAGCAGAAGGAAGTTGCCCTCACTCCCTGTATATTTAATCATACACAAGCTATGCTCTCAATAAATATAAAGTCTTGCTTCCTGAATGTCGGAACATTCTGTACTTTGAAAAATAATACGTTTAGACACATTTCTACTTATACTTCCAGCAGATTGTCCGTACGGCTCTTCCACATTTTATTAGAAACATCAGCCTGAAAACAGAACTTTATTTCTTAACGTGTGCTGAAAATGTCTTGAGTACCCATCCTTTATTTATTTGTACAGGCAGAGAGTTAGGAAGGGTGAAATCTGGGCCCCCTTTAAGTCAAGGAGAGTTTTCCTATCTTCAAAAGGGCCAAGGTTTCACCCAGAGTGTGTATGTGTGGGGGGGGAGATTCAAAAAAAGAGCCTCCCCTCCTTTAAAAAACCACACAAAACTCCATGCCTAAATCCTTGGGCATGCGACTTTGGGGCGTAAGAAGAGAGATTTGTGCACATTTCTCAGAAGGCAGCAAGAAGAGGCTGAAACTTGGGCTGCACAGTTTTGGACATGCACATTTAGAGCCCAGGTTGAAGCTAATGTGCTTGGCAGGATTGTTCCCTATTAATTAAAGGTAGTGAAGGAACAAAATCCTAACGTCAAACCTATTAGCAGGAGCCAGCGTAATTTCTCCGCTGTTTCCTTAATCCCATTGGTTCTCAAAGCCATACCTTAATCCCAACATATTCAGAAGGGATAATGGGTCGTTCCAGGGTAGGCAGGGATGACTCGTCGATCTTTTCCCCAATCATCACCTTTGTGGCCACATCGATGAAGTCTACGCCAATAGTCTTGGACACAAAGGGGAAGGAGCGTGAAGCCCGCAGGTTGCACTCTATCACCTGAAGGGATAAAGAGGAGATTCTTCAGTGCCATGGATTTGTGAAGTGCAGAGGTCAAGCTCCTATTCGGGTGCAAATTCACAAGCATAAACAGGCTCTGGAGGTTTCTGGAAACTCGTCCTGGGACAACACTCACAGGAGCTGGAGAGAAATCTCACCAAATTCTCATATAAGGTGCATGCTCAGGCATGGGAATTGCAGTCAAGATTCTGAGGCTCTAGACCTAGGCGACTCGGCTTAAGGAACGCAACTCCCGCTTTGTAGAATACGTAGCTGGAGTCGGCTTACCTTAAGGCGTGCTTGGTGGCATCCCCATCGGCTTCCCTTACTCCTTGCAAAAGCAGGAGTGTATTGCTTCCCTTACTCCTTGCAAAAGCAGGAGTTCTGGACGCTGGTGGGGGTGCCCTCTGAGTTTGATTTAGTGAGTCTTAACTCGACTCCCTACATCAAACTCCGGAAGATCGAGCACAGCAGCAGCGATCTTCCTTCTTGTGTAGGCAAGCCCTGAGTGATTGTGAGGAGCCAACCTGATGGTTCTTGGAGCCTGGTTTTCACAGGGCTGGTTACCCAAAATCACCAGTCACTTTTGAAAATGTGTCTTGTGTTTTCCACACCATAGCCTTGGCTTCAAACACATCAGTGCCCAAACCGGAGGTGGAGGAAGGGAGAAAACACCATGAGCTAGTTATAAACACTCAAGCTTATTTGGCCCTTTCCTTGCTGTCACACTATTTCTTTGGGGAGTGAAAATTTCTCCAGGCAAGCATTTGGTCAAGCGGACTTTTGGGCTCTGTAGCTGGGATATGTTTAGCGACACAAGCTAGGAACAAAGTCAGTGCCCGACACAGAGTGTCACTGGGGTTTGAGAGAAGAGGAGGAATCCAGGTACGTGAGGGAGTGAGTGAACTGGGGTGAGAAAGGCAGAGGAAAGATAGGTGGATAAAGAAGGAGATCACAAGAGAAGAAAGAAAATGAGGTGGACAGTGCTGGGAAGATTCATTCCCAAACTAGCAGTTCAGTCAGCACAAAATCACTTGAGTCTTGTAAAATCTTCCCTTCCCGTCCCAACACAAACCTCCCCCTTTCACAGATGGCCAGGACTCCCTTGACTTTCCCAGTTAGTGACAGCGAGCAAAGCACCCACTGATGTTGGCCTGCAAGGATCAGACATTTGTTGTACACCTGTATTTAATAGCACTCTTGAAAGATCACCTTTTAGTGGTGCACACACTCGGTTTGCCCCTTTCACATCCACCCATATTGCCCTTCTAGCTTTTAGCATGCGGCCCATCAAGATCCAGGCTACCGAAAGGTCAGCCGGTGCATGATAAAGTCAAGATGACGCTTTGTTAATAAAATGGGGCATGAGTCCCAGGCCTATAAATCACATTTGGAAATTATCCTTCTGGAAAATTTGGATTTGAGCACAGCCTCACACAACCATGTGCTGCCAGACAGCCATTTCACAGAGCTTGCTTCACCCACAAATGACAACAATGTGAAGGCAGATGGAGCTCTCTTCTCACAGGGCACGTCAACACAGCAGAGCAAAAGTCAAATTAAGCGATGCAACTTCAGTGTTGACATGCCCTGTAAGAAGAGAGCTCCATCTGCCTTCACATTGTAGCCGAAGTCGAAATAGTGTAATTTGGCTTTGGGCACTGTCTACACAGCAGGAAGTCAAAGGGAGAGCACTCTTCCTTCGATTTCCCTTACTCCTGGGCTATGTCTACACTGGCATGATTTTCCGGAAATGCTTTTAGCGGAAAAGTTTTCCATTAAAAGCATTTTCGGAAAAGCGCGTCTAGATTGGCAGGACACTTTTCTGGAAAAGCACTTTTCCGGAAAAGTGTCCATGGCCAATCTAGACGCACTTTTCCGCAAAAAAGCCCCGATCGTCATTTTCACGATTGGGGCTTTTTTGCGGAAAACACTACTGTGCTGTCTACACTGGCCCTTTTCCAGAACAATTTTCCGGAAAAAGACTTTTGCACGAACGAGAGCAGCATAATTTTTCCGGAAAAGCACTGATGATTTTACAAGCGGCCAGTGTAGATAGCTGGCTAGTTTTTCTGGAAAAGCGGCTGATTTTCCGGAATAACTTGCCAGTGTAGACACAGTCCTCATGAAATGAGGGTTACAGGAGTCGGAGTAAGAAGTCCTTCAGCTTGCTAATATTTCGAAATAATGGCTTGCCATGTAGACATACCCACGCTGCACCACAGAGTGCTTTACACAGCAGGGAAAGGTATCTCCGTGGCACAGAGAGGCCCTTGAACAAGGCAGGCATTATGTGTGCAGACCCACGCTCGGACTACAGCATGTAGCTGCTGTTGCCTCAGTCTCTCTGCCCTGAGGGGGAGCACAGAGAAATGGCACATTGGCAGGACACAACACTGGAGCCGCCTGAGTCTCCTCCTCCGCAGTTCTTACCAAGACGTCGTTTCCTCGCACCAGGAACTGAACATTGAATGGCCCCGAGATGGAAAATGCCCGAGCAATCTTCTTGGTGATAATTTTCACCTACAAAAAAACAGGCAGCATAAGGTTATTTATTACGCACAGATCGGCTCCAAGGTGGGAGCTTGGCCATGGTCTTCACAACCTGCAGCAGCCTTTGGAGATCGTGTCTGTCCTATGAAGCCGAGGAACCCAGAGCCAGAATGTCCACACGAGGTGATGGGAATAAAAATGGAGTCTCGTGCATTTAATCACTGCATGGTGTGAGGGGACTCCCTAAACGTCACGCACTGCAGGCTGGGATGGGGCGGTTCACATTTCCGATAAACTGGGTTTCAGCTAAGTGGGTACTTTACAGGCTTCAGTCACTTAGCAATATACTTGCGTCATCAAAGATCAACAGTATCTGTATCAACACTATCCTGAAATAAACTGGGAAAGAAGCCACCATCCCATCTAGAATCCTAGAACACTAGGACTGGACGGGACCTCGAGGGGTCATCAAGCCCCATCCCCTGCCCTCCTGGTAGAACCAAGCACCATCTACATCCTCCCTGACAGGTCTGTCTAACCTGCTCTTCAATATCTCCCGTGATGGAAATTCCACAACCTCCCTGGGCAATTTATTCCAGTGTTTAATCACCCTGAAAAGGTAGGAAGTTTTTCCTAATGTCCAACCTAAACCTCCCTTGCTGCAGTTTAAGCCCATTGCTTCTTGTCCTGTCATCAGAAGCCAAGGAGAATGGTTTTTCTCCCTCCTCCATTTAGGTATTTGAAAACTGCTATCATGTCCCAGCCTACCATACCATGTTCCACCACTTTTATAAAGGGGTTTGCAAAACTCAGCTCTGTATTAGGGACTCCTGTGATTAGAGAGGGATAGCTCAGTTGTTTGAGCATTAGCCTGCTAAATCAAGGGTTGTGATCTCAATCCTTGAGTGGGCCACTTAGGGATTGGGAGCAAATCTGTCAGGATTGGTACTTGGTCCTGCCATGAGGGTAGGGGACTGAACTTGATGACCTCTCAAGGTCCCTTCCAGTTTTCTATGAGGAGAAGAAGAAAGTTTCTGGATGTGTTTGCAATTTGAACACTGTTCCTGGCCATATCCCACAGGGTATCTTTTTAGGAAGAGGGCCTGTAACTCTGGGTCTTTATGGCCTGAGCTAATGAGTCAATTTTAGCAAAACACTCACTTTCTCCACAGCTCCTTGGCTAATAGTCTGGGTGGGCAGCATCAGGGTGGCGTCTCCAGAGTGAACACCTGCATCCTCCACGTGCTCCGAGATAGCATGTGAGATGACCTGTGTGAAGAAAGAGTCATGGGTCATCCTGTCTGACATGCCCAGCTCCAGCCTCACCGCCAGGCCCACCACAAAGACGAGTTCTGCACAGGCCCAGGGGGAGAGATACACAGGGACAGGGACACAAAAAAAACATGGAATTTCCTGGCTCTTCAAGCACATTTTGCAGGAATTTAAAAGGACTAGTGGATGCAAACAACGGCCAGCGCACACCGCTGGACCGCAGTGCTGCAAGCTGCAGTAATAGTAATGAAAATCAAATCTCCTGCTTCAGGCCATTATCTGTCTGTCTGGGTTGTCCAGATGAAGCAATTCCTGCTCACCCCTCCTCTTTGCATCATTTCTACAAAGGCCCGGCTGGGCTGTGGATTAGTTTCACTTCCTTTGGAAGCAGCGTGTATTGATCGTTGCTAGAGGGAGGATATAATGGACTTAATGGAGCAATGTCTGAGCTATCACAGTAAATCCTTATGCTCCTGTTTTCGGTCCCAATCCAAAGCCCCAAAGAAGTTCTTTCATAGACTCCAATGGACACTGGATCAGGCCTTGTCAGAAGCACTTTTGAATCCCAAGGCCCTGACAGAGGGAAATGCTAATGAAGTATGCAGAGAAAAGCAAAGGGCCTTGATTAGGAAATGTGATTATATTCACCCTCACTCTTTCACCATATGAGGAAGACAAAAGGCCCAGAGAAAAGGGAGAAAGGCAAAATCTTGAAGCAGGAACTGCAGCTAGAAGACCTACCCAAGGCAGGTATCTTCAAGAGGCTGAAAACTCTCCGGAGACTGGCTAGCCATGAAAAAACAATTTTGTTTTTCGT